ACAAGTACTGATTTCTTTCAAAAATCGACAACTGTGAAACTATGAACCCTTCCTGGTCACAAACGGTACATTTTGAGACAGGAAATTGTAGAGAGAAACAAGCCCTATAACATAGGATACAACATTTTTAATGAACAGTGCTTTCCATAAAATCAATAAAATGAAAAATATAGGAAATAATATACATATAAAGTACTGATTTCTTTCGAAAATCGACAACTATAAAATTATGAACCCTTCCTGGTCACAAACGGTACATTGTGAGACAGGAAATTGTAGAGAGAAACAAGCCCTATAACATAGGATACAACATTTTAATGAACAGTGCTTTCCATAAAATCAATAAAATGAAAAATATAGGAAATAATATACAAGTACTGATTTCTTTCAAAAATCGACAACTGTGACTACATTTGTATGGTTCATAGTTTATTTGCAATTGGAGTATTTTTCTAACAATATAAATAGGTAACTATGAACCCTTCCTGGTCACAAACGGTACATTTTATGAGACAGGAAATTGTAGAGAGAAACAAGCCCTATAACATAGGATACAACATTTTAATCCAACAGTGCTTTCCATAAAATCAATAAAATGTAAAAATATAGGAAATAATATACAAGTACTGATTTCTTTCGAAAATCGACAACTATAAAATTATGAACCCTTCCTGGTCATTCAAACGGTACATTGTGAGACAGGAAATTGTAGAGAGAAACAAGCCCTATAACATAGGATACAACATTTTAATGAACAGTGCTTTCCATAAAATCAATAAAATGAAAAATATTGTGGAAATAATATACAAGTACTGATTTCTTTCGAAAATCGACAACTATAAAATTATGAACCCTTCCTGGTCACAAACGGTACATTGTGAGACAGAAATTGTAAAGAGAAACAAGCATTTCCGTGTTTTATAATTTTATGATGTCAGATGCCACCATTAAGTCACAATACAGCTTTTATATAAACTATTAAATATTAATAAGCAAATAAAGACATTTTTAGATCGTAACTAACACTGTATTTTTAGTTTTAATTATGTCCTGACAACAGTTGTGTGTCTTGGGGTTGATTTATTTGTTAGAACTCGATTTCAATTAAAACTTGGCGAAAACTTTGACGAAAAACGACTTTCTCGCATGGCGAGCAGCCGTTAGAACATAGGATACAACATTTTAATGAACAGTGCTTTCCATAAAATCAATAAAATGAAAAATATAGGAAATAATATACAAGTACTGATTTCTTTCTGAAAAATCGACAACTATAAAATTATGAACCCTTCCTGGTCACAAACGGTACATTGTGAGACAGGAAATTGTAGAGAGAAACAAGCCCTATAACATAGGATACAACATTTTAATGAACAGTGCTTTCCATAAAATCAATAAAATGAAAAAAATATAGGAAATAATATACAAGTACTGATTTCTTTTCGAAAATCGACAACTATAAAATTATGAACCCTTCCTGGTCACAAACGGTACATTGTGAGACAGGAAATTGTAGAGAGAAACAAGCCCTATAACATAGGATACAACATTTTAATGAACAGTGCTTTCCATAAAATCTTTCCATAAAAAATCAATAAAATGAAAATATAGGAAATAATATACAAGTACTGATTTCTTTCAAAAATCGACAACTGTGAAACTATGAACCCTTCCTGGTCACAAACGGTACATTGTGAGACAGGAAATTGTAGAGAGAAACAAGCCCTATAACATAGGATACAACATTTTAATGAACAGTGCTTTCCATAAAATCAATAAAATAAAAAATATAGGAAATAATATACAAGTACTGATTTCTTTCGAAAATCGACAACTATGAAATTATGAACTGTTCCTGGTCACAAACGGTACATTGTGAGACAGGAAATTGTAGAGAGAAACAAGCCCTATAACATAGGATACAACATTTTAATGAACAGTGCTTTCCATAAAATCAATAAAATGAAAAATATAGGAAATAATATACAAGTACTGATTTCTTTCGAAAATCGACAACTATGAAACTATGAACCCTTCCTGGTCACAAACGGTACATTGTGAGACAGGAAATTGTAGAGAGAAACAAGCCCTATAACATAGGATACAACATTTTAATGAACAGTGCTTTCCATAAAATCAATAAAATAAAAAATATAGGAAATAATATACAAGTACTGATTTCTTTCGAAAATCGACAACTATGAAATTATGAACCCTTCCTGGTCACAAACGGTACATTGTGAGACAGGAAATTGTAGAGAGAAACAAGCCCTATAACATAGGATACAACATTTTAATGAACAGTGCTTTCCATAAAATCAATAAAATGAAAAATATAGGAAATAATATACAAGTACTGATTTCTTTCAAAAATCGACAACTATGAAACTATGAACCCTTTCTGGTCACAAACGGTACATTGTGAGACAGGAAATTGTAGAGAGAAACAAGCCCTATAACATAGGATACAACATTTTAATGAACAGTGCTTTCCATAAAATATCTTTTTTCCATATCTGTATTGCAGCACATTTTTAGACAACTTCTTTATTTTTAAGATTTTGATAGTCAAACATCAACAAAATATTCCTTATGTTTGGATTAAATTTTCACAAAAATAAAGACATAATTTAAAATTCCGTTACAATACAGAAATAAATTGAAGTTTTGTGATTACAGTGATATATAATTTATATAGTTTTGTATCAAATTGCTCGCTATTTTATGGCAAGCGCTGAAGCTCTGCAAACCTTAATCAAGCCTTAATCAAAGCACGTGTGTTTGGCATTTTGGGTATGGCTTAACACGACAGGATCGGTCTTTACCCGACCCCTGAGAGCGACCCGAAAATACAGCGTAATAGACTCATAAGACAATAAATTTTCTTCTATTACCGATTTTCTTATTGCCTATATTATTAATTTATTGTAGATACAAATGAGTCTAAAACCACATAAAATAAAACAGTTAATTTTCAAAATAACTACAAACACAAAAATATGTTTTTTTTTATAAAATGTAACCGATTTTGTAGTATTTATTTATATTTTTATATGTATCCATTAAGGTACATTCAGGCTGAGAGCGTCGAGCGTCGCGTTTGCGCCGCGTTGTGGAATGTAAAATTGCCACAATATAGAAACAGAAATCTGCATGATCGGCTTTTAGGTATTTCTAGTAAGTATTTTTTCACAGTATGGGTAAATATATGAGAGCTTTCGCCGGACGCGACGCTCGACGCGACGCTCTCAGCCTGAATGTACCTTTACAGTTTAGATGTCATCGAATACATGTCCATTAAAAAATGATGATATGTTTTGAGCTAAGGGCTGAAGGATTTTAAGGTACTCTTTAATATATTTGAGATCAATGTCTTTCGTTCGTTTTTCAGGCTACATAATGAAGTCGGGGATTCACTAGATTCCCTTGAAAGACAACAGACTCAATACACAATAATAAAAACAAGTTCTGAAAAACTAACTTTTTATTTGCTTCTACTACAAGCAAATAAAATAGCCTGTTAAAAATTTGTCATAAAAATCTGACTTTAAGGTCTTTTCTAAAAAGACTTGCATATTTTAAAAGATTTAAGCGTTATTTAATGACTTAATACTATTTTTATTTCGGAATAAAATTTAAATCACAAATCATTTTCAAAATAAGTTAAATTTTAAGTTTTAAGTCAGCTTTCAAAAAATGATTTAATATGAAATGACTTAAAGAAGTCATTAAAATGATTTAAATCAATAAATGACTCAAGTTTTCTGTGAGTTTACAGCTCCGGTAGCCACACACATTCAGCTTTTTCTATGGCAGTTTTGTGGGGTCATAAATATGCACCTTTCAGGTTTTTGAAAAAGTTCATATTTACAATTTTTGTTTATTTTAATTTGCAAAGTTTGGATGTGACAGATTCACATTTCTGAGAGCAACGACGGCGACGATTGAATTTGTTTCCATGGCTAACTAAGTGAAATTGTTTTAAATTGATAAGAATTGGCTATAACTTAGTAATTTTTCGAAAAAAACATATAGCTTATATCGCTGAAAAGCTTAAAAAATGGCGCTTTTTATGAGGTTTGCGCTTTTTATGAGGCTAACTAATGGTTTCCATTAAAAAAAACATATGTTTGTGTCATATGTCAAAAATGACAAGCTTTAGAAAAAATCGGAGAACACAAACTCATTATGTGATTATCTACAACTTTTATCTGAAAACTTTTTGTCTAAAATAGATTACAATGGAATTAGGAACAATCTTTAAAATAGCCAAAATTTATATACCATGCATATTTATAACCCCACAAAACTGCAATTCTTTCCTCATTTAACCGACTCTATCTCCAGTAGCTTCCGAGATACACATATACAGGGTGGTCCGAACTGTATTCCGGAAACTTCGGCCACATATTCTGCAGATAAAAATATGTAAAAAAGTTCGTATAAATGTATGTCCTAAAATGCTTCGTTTCGAAGATACAGGGTGTAGAAGTTTAATTTTTATTTCGATTTTTTCCAAATAATTTCTGAAGTAACATCAGTATTTGGATGAAAATTGGTACCTGGGAGTTTTTTGATATGAGAAATTTGATTTTGATATCAATATGAGTCCTACTTGTAGAGGGCGCCGTGTAAAAATAACTTTTTGTCCGTACCTGTATAAAATTACTGAGTAAAAAAATATACATTTATGGAGTTTTTTTACGTAAAAAAGGTCTCTTGGTAAAAATCGCTACGAGTAACTTTTTCACTTTGTTTTTTTTATTTTTATCTACAGAATATGCTGCCGAAGTTTCAGGAATACAGTTTGGACCACCCTGTATAGAGAATTTTTACCCATCGTAGAAAACTCACCCTGTATAAACCATTAGTTATAAATTCTAGCTATCTTTTTAGTACACTTATCCAATTACACGTATCGTCTAACAATGCTTAACTTTGATAATCGGGAGCACATACATGACCAAATGTATTCTCAATTTTTATTATTTATTTTTTAGGAATGGCATAGAGAATTAACTTATTTAGCCAAAGACGTCTCTCAAGAAAAAATCGATAAACTGCTCTCATGTGCCTTCGCTCTGCTCAACAAAGAAACGAAATCTCTAAACCTTCCAGATTTTCCCGTGGAAAACTTGATACTAGCCGCAAAAATTCTAGTAATTTTTTTTTCAATTTGAGGTAAACTATTATAACAGTCAAAATTCAGAATATTTTATTTTTTAGAATAGTTATCCAGAGCTTTCAGTTTACGATATATTTTATCGCCTCTATCCATACAAGATCTTTCTCAATGATAATATAGAGAATGTTGAATCTTTACTGAAGACATTTATTGAAATTCCGTCAGAAGACAGTTTTGCAAAAAGCCCAGCTTTCATGAGTAAAATAATTACAGCATTTGCTAAAGAAAGTGAGTATATAGTTCAAAATGTATCCATAATTCCATACCGTCAAAAAAAAAACGGCGTCAAAGACGGCTGGGGAATGACACTCGATAATAATTTTAGCGAAGTCAAGCCCTTTTGTAATTTTTTAATGGCGCTTACTGCCAGTTGGTTGTAATTTATTTTTATATTGAATACAAATTATTTTTAAATGGTGTAATTTAAAATTTCAGAAAAAAAGGTTGGCGCACCTCATGCGCCTCAGTTGATTATACGAAAACGGAAAGATGTAGAAACAAAATATTTTATGAGTATATGTGAGGAGGCAATAAGTATAATTTTTTTTTCAAATGTACAGGGTGTGCCAGAACTAAGATCCATACCAAAGTTATATTTTTTCTTATGGAACACCCGGTATTTTATATAATTTTTTGGGTTTTTGACCATAAAATAAGGCATTTATTATAAGGGTTTAATATGTTTAAAAGCTTTGGTTTTTGAGATATTTAAAGATATTTAAATATGCATGCTACAATAAAAAGTTTGTCAACACCCTGTATATTACTTTTCAGAATTAATTCTTTTGCTGACTTTTAAGCCAGAGAAATAAACTTTACTAAAAAATTTTATTCCATTTAAAAAAATACAACTTTGATATTTTTTATTTATTTGGGACACTCTGTATCTTGTAAAAATATGTTTAAATTGTAGCTCTAATAGTCCTTCAACGAACCCCAAACTTACAATTTGTAAAAATCTCATCGTTTAGCTACAATACTCCGTGTCGTATGTGGTGAACAACCCTGTATATTAGGGTTTCCTATACCTATCTGGCTCAAACTTTGAATAAAAAGCGATTTTTCAGTACAATGGCAATCAAGACGGTTGGTGTCGCCATGGCAATTTTGTAATGACACTTAGCTATTTTCAAAATCGACATTAGTTTATGGACTATAATAGTTAAAAAAACCTTTATTACACATGTTTTGCTTATTCTTTTCTTTGGTTTATTAAAGCAAATAAAACCGATGAGTATGTTAACACCGAATACCAACAGAACGTACTCAACTCAATGCTTCAAACAGTCCAGTCAGCTGATTTCTGCTTGATCGGTCCAAGCGGATCAGGGAAAACCATGCTCTTAAAACAAATGGCAGGCGGAATAAACCGACAGCTAGAAAACATAGTGCTGTACCAAGATATGACTTCCAGAGATCTGCTTCAGCAGAGAACAACCCTGGATAATGGTGACACAGTCTGGACATTCTCGCCCCTTGTTAAAGCAGCTTTGAGCGGTAAAATTGCAGTATTGGATGGGATCCATAGAATACATCCTAGCACGTTATCAGTATTGCATAGGTAAAATATTTTTGTTCTTATACAGGGTGTCCCAGAAATAAAAGAAATGTTTTAATTGGTAGTATAGTTCGACCCCAGAAACACGCTCATGAGGTTATTTTGCGAAAAAAAATTGTTGTAACGTCGGAATAGCTTTACGATGGTCCTTCAAATGTACAGCATCGTCAAAAAAACTATAATTTTTACTCCTAATAAAACAATACACTATTGTTCGAAAATAGTCTTAAGTTGAGATTGAAATTAGTATGTGCTATCTAATGTCAAAGTGTGACGTACTTAACTGCAGATCATAATGTCGGTAGAGAAATTTGGAAACATACAACCGTTTCAAAAAAAAATAAAACGACACATTTTCTGACAACCATTATAGATTCTCCGGAATGAATATATAGTCTCTAGATCAGAAGAACCTAGTTCTGGCACTAAACTTTGCGAATGATATGTATTCGAACGGCGAATTTTTTCACTTATTAGATAAATTTTAAAATAAATCTCTACATTTAGCGGTCTATGGGATTCACACGAAATTACTTCAAAAATCGGTCCAACATTTAAATTGATGAATAGATATTTTTATTATAGTTTTATAACATTTACAATTATTTTTCGATTTATTATCTGTTATATCTGTTATAGAAATATTTTTTCTAGTTTTCTAGGACACGTTTTTATAACTTTTACAGTTATTTTTTGATTGATTATAAAGTAAAAATATTTTTTTTTTATTTAAATCACATGATTAAAATTAATAAATCACTTGATTTAAATCATGCCAACCCTGATAATTAGTGAGTTTACCTTATTTGATATTTTGTTAATTTACTTCTTCCTCAATCATTTCTATAAGAAGTGTGTTTATAATTTTAAATATAGGCTAGTACACGATAGAGAACTTCAACTCTATGATGGCAAAAGACTGATAAGTGCAGACAGATATAAATTCTTAATAGAAAATATGAAAATAGACGAAATTAAGTTAAAAGAAGCAGGAATTTTACCTATCCATCCAGATTTCCGAATAATAGCCGTTGGGGATCCCCCTGCGTTCCAATCGAAAGACGGCAACTGGATTTCCCCAGAAATTCTGAGTTTATTTGCTTTCCACGACTTACGAACATTAGGAAAAGTAGAGGAAATAAACGTAATCACTACAAAGGTACTCTAATCATTTTTCTATATTACATTTTCTTTAATAAAGTTTATTAAAAATCGTTTTTAGTTTGGACCAATCAGCAAGGAACTTCACAAAATCATAAACCTCGCTCATTCTTTGAGAGGACATCAGGATGCTACCTTAAAAAACCTAGCAGGACACTTATCAACAAGACAATTAATCAGGATAGCCGCCAGGATGAAACACTTTGGAAACGAAGATCCCTATTCGATTCTGGAAGAGACCTTCATGATGAAATTCCTTCCATCGCTTACGAAAAAGTCTTTAGAGAAAACAATAATTTCAGAAGGCATAGTACCACAAGACAATCCGATTTTAAACAGGGGAGAACAAAATATTAAATGCGAAGTTAAAGACAACGTTTTGACAATAGGTAGTCTTAATTTATCTAGTTCATTATCTTTTTGATAACCATTTTTGTTTTAGGCAACACCTCAGCACCAATATACCAAACAGAACATCATACTAAAGTTCCAAAAATACTGTTTTACGATATCCCTCAGCACGTAAAACTCATGGAACATCTTCTTCAAGATTTTCAGTTAGGCTATCATCTCCTACTAGTCGGGAATCAAGGAGTTGGGAAGAACAAAATAGTGGATCGCTTTCTAGAATTGTTGCATAGACCTAGAGAGTATATACAGCTTCACAGGTATATATGTATTTAAGATATCTCCAAGAAGGTTTTGTTAGTTTTTAAGCTTCATGCAGAACAGCAATTAGTGGAATGAATTAGTGGTTCCAATTACACTTTATACTTTTTAGTTTACGATCATTCACAATGTTTAAAAAACACAATTAAAATTAATAGTTTTATAATGTTTAAAAAACACAATTAAATCCTAGCAACAGCTTGCGTTAGTCAGTTGTATCCTTGTATAGTCTGTCCAACGACAAGATCCTTGACAGTGATAGATATGTCTGTCATTTTAATTTCAAAATAGTTTATTTTATTTTACAAAAAAAATAAGTTGGTACAACTGGAACGCATTGCAGGAAATTAATATATTTAAAATTTGACTGATAATAGTCTAAGAGCTATAGTAAACGCCACGAATGTTTGGGAGTGATTCATCGGTCGCTACCATGTGAATTAATCTGTTCAAGGTCACATAAAACTTAATTCCAGTGCCGTGGTCTTTCAAGTCATATAATAATCAATATATAATCTGTTGTAATTTATTGTTTTAACTGTCGAAGTCTTGTCAAAACATATATTTGGTTATAAATATAAAATGGAATGCCCCATTGGTCGCACTGCAAGCACACCAATGGACTGACGCACAAAAACGAATCAATCAAAGAAACGCGATATAGTATCGTCTTTGTCAATCACGCTAACATTTTAGAATAAGTAGGAGGAGCGCAGGCAGATGATTAGACCGGGCCTTTAAAAACCTACGTCTGCGGTAAAAATTTACGTTTTTAATGTAAAAATTATAGCGCGCGTGTCGATTCTAACTTCATCAAGCGATGAATTACTCCCAAACATTCGTGGCGTTGACTCTAGCAACGTTGAGAGTATTAAGACGTCTGGCGTTTTGATATCTACTATGTTTGAATAGATGATCGTTCATTCGTGCGATACCTGTTGTGTTCACTACTGCGCATCGGAAGAAGATCCTATATTTTTATAGCCCTGACCCGGATTGGAACTCTGAATTATCGGTTCGTGGTCGGAAACTCTACGGAGACATGTTCGATATATATTCAATACTAGAATTTAAAGGACTAATAAAAATATAGAATCTTCTTTCAATGCGCAGTAGGGAACGCAACGTTTACCGGCAGCCAGACGGACCGCATGCTGTTCTAGAGAGCATAGTAAAAGATATATGAAAGAGCCAGACGTCTTAAAATACTTGTTTTTCCGACGTTGCTAGCTCTCGTACTATAAGTGATTACTTACTATTTTTATTTTTAGTTTATTTAAAAAAAACGGTATGTGTTAATAGAAAACAAACAAGAACAAAACACCAAATACCAAAAAAATATAAAAAAGAACTATTTCTTACTTTCAAGCTTCAAAAAACTTCCCGCATTTATTATTATATTTATCAATATAACTTATGTACAAATACAAATTTGTAATATTCCACAGGAATAAATAAAACAAACTATTTTATTAATAATAACACTTACCAAATTTTATCCCTTAAAAGTTGATTAATTAACTTTAATCTTAATTTTTTTAAACCAGTACCTTTTGACATTATTTTTCTGCAGTACTAAAATCTATTATTTACCTATCATGTGATGTCGATATTTTACAGCTACTTCAGTAGTATATTATGTTTAGTACGTGGTACGATCCTTGTAGTATACACGAGATGCACTTATCTACGACGAGATGGTATACAAACTTTATTGATGGTAACTTTATTGGTGTATAAGACTTTCTGCCTGGGCAGAAAGTATTAACTATAAACTGTGCTCTGGGTCTGCAGTTAATTTTCCCTCGATTTTTCCTCCACTTGACTTCAAAATACACAAAACACACATAATAACACGAATCAAAACGCATCATCTTCCAAAACGCAGGATATTTGACATAAGTTGACACAAAATTATAACCTATAATTTGGCAAGACTTTGACAAGTCTCAAAAATCTAAAGGAGAGTTCATATATACGCATCGGCGTCCGTTTGTCATTTCCTGTTCCGTCAAACCCTTTGAATAAGAAGACTAAGGAAGGAGCATATCAAAAAATCTTAGGTACACCGCGATGGGCCTCAAATATGGCCGACTTAAATTCCGGTTTATCAGTGTCGTCTAATTTTATTTAAAAAATGTAAAACTATGATGTAGGGTAGACGTGGGGTAGACTCAATAATTTGTTAGTTTATTTTACGTTGTGAATAAATGTTGGTAGTTATTAAAATTGTTATAAAAATATAAAATTCTAATAAAAATAGATAAGTTATCATAATTATTTATAACCATAAACATCCGATACGCTACTGAAGCAGGTAAGTCAAATTGACGTATCTAAATTCTTTGTCATCTAATCTTTGACAAGTAGTAAATAAAAGCAAAAACGCAAGAAAAAATATATAATTAGTTAATTTAAGTGAATTTTATAAATGATCGGTTTACTACACGTATGTATATTATATAGGCACTTACTAGCGAAAAGTTGTTCCATTATTTCACTCGATTTTTGCCGAGATCTACCGCACGCTACACAACCAACTATTTTAGAGTCTTTTTCGATAAATCGCGATAGTGTCACTGTTAATTTAAGTTCTGCCACAATTTCCATCTAGATTTACTACCTTTATACAACTATCAGTAGTAGAATAAATAATAAATAACATAAAATAAGCTCCGTAAAGACTGACAAATCCACAAAATTTCAAATCAAATTCAAATGTGTCACATGAATCGTCAAACAGAACTGTCAAGGATCCCCACCCTAGAGTCCTTTTTCCGCCCACCATGCATGAATACATGGATAGCATTAAGCTCCTTCCTTAGTCTTCTTATTCAAAGGATTAATCTTTTAATCTTTTTTTTAGAGATACTACTGTACAAACTTTAACAACTCAACCCACCGTCAAAGACGGTCTTTTGATATACGAGGATTCACCACTAGTCAAAGCAATCAAAAATGGACATGTCTTGGTTGTTGATGAAGCTGACAAAGCCCCTACTCACGTCACTTGCATCCTGAAAACCCTAGTGGAGTCTGGACAAATGATTTTAAGCGATGGAAGACGTATAGTCACGGAAATACCCCAAAACCAGACGAATATTGATGAGACTTACGTCCAAGTGCATCCAGATTTTCGCATGATGGTCCTGGCTAACCGTCCAGGGTTTCCATTTTTAGGAAACGACTTTTTTGGGGCTTTGGGCGATTTGTTCAGTAGTAGAGCAGTGGAGAATCCCTCAAGGGAGTCGGAGATAGAGCTACTGAAAAAATACGGACCTGATGTTCCTTTGAAAAATATTAGAAAATTGGTTGATGTTTTTGGAGAGTTGAGAGTAATGGCTGATCAAGGGCAATTGAATTATCCATATTCAACTAGGGAAGTTGTTAACGTTGTGAAACATTTACAGGTAATCATCAAATGAATATATTTTTTTATTGAAAAGCTATATGATAAATAAAATGTTTCAGCAATTTCCTGAAGCAGATTTGGAGGATGTAGTGTTTAATGTGTTCGATTTTGACAGATACAGTCCGGATCTTTTAGATTCCTTAGGTGAAGTACTGCAGAAACACGGGTTTGCCACTAACGTTCTGTCACCTGAGTACCTAGCGGCCAAAAGGAGTAAAGAAAATGTTCAGGTTACTGTCAAAAGAAAGAGCGGGTAAGTTTTATTAAATGATTACGTAATTTAATTTTCCGTGCTATACAGTATGTCCCCGGATTGATTTGATTGATAGTTGAATTTTTTGTAAGTCCTAAGAATCAAAACTAGTAGTGGGAACTATCGAATGAATACTATCGAAACATTCGATAGTTGCAATTCATTCGAATAATTCGATAGCTAGTAAGAAAACATTCGTTGAAAACTATTCGAGTAAAAATTATCGAATAGATGCGTCATCTGCCTTGAAATATTGTATTCTAGTAATTCGGCAGCAAAAACCATTCATTTATAAAATTCATTCATTTGTGAAATTCATTTATTCGTCAGGATCGATTATAATAAAATATTAACTGGATTTTAGTTGTCGCCCGGCGACGTAGATTTCTTTCCGAGAAACCCGACAGCGGTGGTGGCAATGCTATGAAAGAAGCCGGCATCTTTGATTTTTTGCGGAGTCATATAAAGATAAGGACACATTATTTTTTTTATTGATGTGCTAGTATTTACACAAAAATACATTATGAAGGGCGCTGTTGCCATATATTGGTATTAGTTGATATTAGCAAAGAATATTATTGTTTGGCTTTAGTTAGTTAGAGATGGTATGTCTATATATTTACATTTTTTTTATTAATGTTCTGTTGTTACACTGCAATAATACTTGTTATTTTGGATGTAGGAAAATGATTTTTAATGTTTTTAAGCAAAGACTGGTTTAATGAAAATAATAATAACAGTAATAATTTGTTATACCTATTAACAACAAAATTTAAAATAATTTAATATAAACATTTTTTTACGTAGTAGCAAAATATAAACAACAAATTAGATGTCAAAATTATTTATATTAGATCCTATTTAAAAATAATATACGTCTTTAAATTTTTTGGCAACGTTGGTTTATTAACTAATAATAATTACAAAACTAATTTGTTATATTAACAACAAACTTTAAAATCATGAAATATAAACATTTATTAATTTTCTAAGCATGCAGTGTAATGGAAGGAAAATATAAATAAAAAATTAGAAATCAAAATTATTTATATTAGGTACTTATATATACTATTTTATATATTTATATATTTATAATATTACTATTTAAAAATAATATTTACTTTTACTGGCATTTACTTTAAAAAATAAATGAAATATTTTTTCGCAAAAAACTACATGTAAGAGAATTAGCATAAACAAAATACAAACATCGTTAACTTTTTTTTTAAATTGGCACGTGTAAAACTTTTAATTTAATTTTCTCACCCCATAGTTTGAGTTCGATAACCCCATTTACTTAACCACATTACTTAAATATGATTATTAAGTTCAACTAATTCATATTATTAAAACATCTAAAATACAAATATGTATTTTTAAAATTAATTCTAAGTTCATCCCATCTCTCTTAAAAATTGCTACTTCTCAAAATTTCCCATTAAAAAATAGACCATATACCATATAAAATAAAATAATTGAAAGATCGGGCTACGGAAAATCACACAAATTTTCGGAAAAATTTATTTTTTTATTTTTATTTTAGTATTTTAAATATTTTAATAAACGCAAAAATAGCACAGTATTTATAAGGCGAAGTTATAAAAATTTGGAAGAACTAATAATGCACTGACGCACACAAAAATCAAACGAATACTAAATTTCATTTATCAAAAGCATTCGATAGTCGTGGCTCAACGATAACCATTTAGTCGCACGGCGAGGTTGTCACATATGCTTTAGTATACAAATGAATGAATGATTTTATTCGAATAAAACCATATTCGATAGTTGAAATCATTCATTCAGTAACCATTCGATAGTCTAATTCATTCGATAGTTCCCATCGCTAATCAAAACGCGTTTGTATTTGTAATATAATTTCGTTTTCATATTTTTTGCTGTTTTTAAATGTTAAAGAAACACAAAATTTATTTATGTAGTTCAATACTAAGGAAAGGGAGATAATAGATATCAGAAAATATGATACAGCAAAGCACAACAAGTCAGCGTTTAATATTTTTAAGCATTAATCTTCACCTGTTTACCAAGCCCTTTACATACTTTATTAGGTTAGATGTATCTTCACCGAAGCATGGAAAGGAAGATCCAAAAAACGAGCCACACGTTGGTGGTAATACCTGGGCAGGAGGTACAGGTGGCAGGGACACAGCAGGTCTGGGAGGCAAAGGGGGACCTTACAGACTGGACAAGGGACACAAAGTCTTTCAAGTAAGTAGATAATAAAATCACTAAAATTTAGTCTACTTAAAGTTACACCTTTTACAAGAAGATAATCTATTTTTCTTGCCTCACCCTGTAGCAATCACGTTTCCAGTCTATCTAATGAGTCAGGGAAAATTTCGACAAACTACATCCAATAAATGACAGTATATACAATTTGCCTGTCAATTAAAATGACAGCCGCAACTGTCACTGTCTGCATTCTTCATTGATTTGCTAAAATAAATACTTTGTATTAAATAAAAGCACTTTCTTTTTAAAGTACTATAAAAATACTAGGAACTAAATGTCTTATGTGTAGAAAAATGTATATGAATATTCTAGTTGCTTACATAGGCCTTATTTTGCTTTTAAAAAATATATAGGCCTTATTTTGCTTTTAAAAAATATATATATAAATATGTCCAGCACCCTCAGAGCATAAGTTTACAAATTACTGCAAGGTACAAGATGTTGTACATATATTAATTTAAGCTTTCAGATGAAGAAAAAAATGCTGTGCCAGAGCATGTCCTCAAAGCAGCAAGAGAAATGAACCGCAAAGCGTTCGCAGAAAAACTAAAGGAAATCGGAATGTCTGGATATGATCACAATGTATATATGGAGTTTTCTGGACCAGTTCAAAGGCAGGTACAGTCGCTGAGGGTGATTTTGAGTAATCTCCAAGCTAAGAACAAGGAGAGGCATTGGTTCAGTCACCAGACGTCTGGGGAGTTGGATGACGTCAAACTAATTGATGGTAAGCAGATATATGCATAGTTTATACTGTGATAAATTATGTATTTGTTACAGGTTTGTTGGGAGAAAAAACTATATACCGAAAAAGATCTGAAAAGGAACCAGAAATTGGAGCGCCTCAAATAAAGCCTAAGTATTTTCGGGTGGTCGTTGATGTTTCTGGAAGCATGTACAGGTAAGCTATAGAGAAAAATCAATAAAAGTTAACCTACACTATATCAAAGACGTCGAAACTCTTACCAAATTAAATTTCTACTAAATGAAAATTTATTTGAAACTTAAGCTTCATTCAGAACCTTCCAATTAGTGGAATAAATTAGTGTGAGCCTTCTTATACAAGACGATAAAATGGTATTTTATCGCCGACCGAAAAGATTAATTCACGAGCCGATGAAATCGCGTGAATTAATTTCGGGAGACGATAATGCAATTTTATCGTCGTGTATAAAACAATATTTTTATCCATAGCGAGTTACGTTTTAAAAAATATTCAGAAATTATTATTTCAAGGAATTTATTACGAGTAGGAAAAATATTGTGCAGAGTTGGCGTTGGTTTCTATGTAATTTCACAAATAAATAAAGCTGTCTCTTTAGTTGTCAGTTTTGAGTCAATATTTTTTAATTCTCTTTCGTGTCGATTGCTGATTGAATTGGAGCCAGAAATGGCTCAAAACAAAATAAGTAAATTACCAACAGATATTCAGGTTGAGGCAAACCACAAACGCCATATCCCAACTACTTCCATTTAAATCCCGAATAACTTATGAAAAGGAATACAAAAATTTTCAAAAATGGTAGCAATTAAAAAAATGTGCGAGAAGAAATAAAGTTTTTAACCTATCCTCGCTGTTAAAGTATCATTTAATCTACCCTTGTATTAAATTACTATTTTATCTACTATTTTTGATAGATATAAGGCAATTTTAATAGTTGCTAAAGTAACAAAACTAGTCTTGGCTATATTACAACGTGCATTCGTCAAATATTTTGACGACATGCACGCCATCTATTATTGGTTTTCCTATATTAATGTATGTAGATTATTATAATCATATTAATCTTTCAGGTTTAATGGGTATGATGGACGGTTGGACCGGGAACTAGAAGCAGTGGTTTTGGTGCTGGAAGCTTTTGAAGGTTTCCAAGATAAAATTAAGTACGACATAATAGGACATTCTGGCGAGGAATACAATCATGTTTTTGTGTCCAGAGATAACCCACCGAAAAACAATAAAGAACGTTTAGAAGTCATTCGGGTATGTATTTTTTTATTTAATATTTTGTTGTTTCCTATAAAACTCTGATTTTCTATTGTAACTCTATGTCAAATACACCGCACAATTGAAAATTAACGTGGTATTTAGAAAATACTTAAGGGTCTATTGCGGGTGTATGGCCGAAGCAAATAAATATTATATTTCAGAAATCTGCCTAAGGCTTAGCCAGATCCTGTCGTATTAAGCCACACCCAAAATTAAAAACAGACGTGCTTTGATTAAAACTTGATTAATGTTTGCAGAGGTTCAGCATTTGCCATAAAATAGCGAGCAATTTATTACAAAACCATATAAATTATATATCACTGTAATCACAAAACTTCAATCTATTTCCGTATTGTAACGGAATTTTAATTTTTCCTTAAATTTAGTCCAAATTTAAGGAATATTTTGTTGGTGATTGACCATTAAAATCTTAAAAATATAGAAGTTGTCTAAAATGTGCTACAATACGGATATAGTATAATCCTTTATCTTTAATTTCCTTCTTCATTTGTGGTAAAAATACCTAGCCAGTTTTACATAAAACGTTAAATGCCGAACACTTATTTTGCTACTTTTTCGGACCAGTGAAATGGACTCTCTAAGAAATTAATATTTAAATCTAAAAAAATATATAAATAATTTCTAGATATTGGATCAGTATTTACATGTCTAGAAGTAAATTTTGTAAGTCCGAGATAGAAAAATGCGAAGTGTTTATTACATAACCATTTAATCCGACGCTATATTTCATGCGCTTGGGAAATTACTTGCACTTCTTTCTTTCTTTAGTACATGTTATTATATTCAGCTCATTGGCAGCATAAGTATATATGCTGCCAATGCGGTATTGATTGTATTGACGCTTCGTACACATGAAAATTGGCACTCAAAGCCAGGATCTTGCCAACCCTGTAGAGACAAAATTATTGGGCAAAAATTATTTTTTAAAATAGATTTTTAAAAGTTTTATTTTTCTAAATTAAATAGCAGTGTTTGATTAATGCTTATGGATATTTCAAGTAAATAAGTTCTAGACCATGCTATTTTGGTATTTAGTATGGAATTTTTAAAATTTACAGAAAATGCACGCACACTCCCAATTCTGTTGGTCCGGTGACAACACCTTGGAGTCAACCAAATGGGCTGTAACAACCTTAGCTGAAGAAGACTGTGATGAAGCAATCGTGGTGGTACTTTCAGACGCCAATCTGCAAAGGTACGGCATTGCACCTTCCAAGTTAAATGAAGCTTTGACCGCCAAAACGAATGTTAGTTCTTATGCCGTGTTTATCGGCAGTTTAGGAGACCAAGCAGAGAGGTGAGTCAATTAAAATGCTTGTGTGTTATATAGATTAGATCAGTGCTTAAATTGTTATATAGATTAGATTAGATTCTTAGAGGTGGCTTTCGGCCTGATCCGCTGCGACCTTCTCAGATCTATTGTGGTTCTCTTCTGATCCTTAGATTATATTCTCCAGTCCTATCCTTTTCACAAAGTTTAGCAACTTGGAGACTGAACCCTCCATGTAGCTCTTTGGCAATGGCCTATCATTGCCTATTACCGGGAACCGCACATTTGCCACGACGTTTCTTCTTCAGATTGGCAGAACCTACACATAGCTTCGTCTGTCAATCCCATCAGCTTTAGATGCCTATTTAGCTTACAATGCCCTGGTAGTAGACCTACTACAACTTTGACTGTCTTTCTGTCCTTGCTTATCAAGTCTTCCGTGAATTTTGGCGAATGTTCTACAATGAACCTTTTTGCCTGTCTCTGCCCTGGTGAGTTTCTCCACCATTCTAGAGATTTGTTGGCAACCCATCGTTCCGTGGCCATTCTCGTGAGCGCCTTTGCAAGGCCGCAGAAGGGTTTTGGGCCTATGATTGGCATTGATGAGCCTTGCTTGGCCCTTTCATCTGCCTTTTCGTTACCCTTGTGACCCTCGTGCCCTGGCACCCAGGCCAACGTAACAGTGCTACGTTCGCCCAAAGTATTCAGAGCACGCACACAGTCCCACACTAGTCTAGAATTGACCTCCGCGGAGCCGAGTGCCTTTAGCGCCGCTTGGCTGTCTGTGAAGATGGCCACAGAACGATTTGTTTTTTGTTGCCTTATTATTTCTTCTACACAATAGTGGATTGCCGTTATTTCTGCCTGGAAAATTGTGACATCCTTAGATCGATTTACGTAGAAGGATCTCCCTTGTTTCGGCCCTACTATCCCAGCTCCTACGCCTTCTGACGTTTTTGAGCCCTCTGTATACCAAGTTGCCTCAGCTTGAATGGGCTTATACTCCAGTTTGGCTTTAACTCCATTTTTTCCTTCCTGGTATGGTTATATTAAATTTGTTGTTGAAGCTATACCTAGTAGCTGTTGCATCGATTGGTAATCCCAGTACTTTGTCTGCTTTTAGCTCTTCGATTGGCTTCTGGTTAGCAGCACTATGCGTTTGGCTTATGTGCTGCTGACCGTGAATTAACCTATGCATGACAGATCTGGCTTCGCCTCGTATGAAAATATGTAGTTGTGGTAAGTTCAACAAGACTTCCATCGCATTTGTAGGAGTGGTTTTTATGGCCCCAGTTACACACAGGCACGCAAGCCTTTGTGTGGAACTTAACAGCCTTACCGCACCCACTTGCGATGTCTTTGTCCACCACGCCACCGACCCGTAGGTTATCATGGGTCTTACTACCCTTATGTATAGCCATAGAGTCATTTTAGGTTAAGTTTTCCACACATCCTTCTGCACCTACCTAAAGAGATGGCAGCCTTCTGTGTTGCTTTTCGCTATGTGAGTATTCCATGTAAGCCTTTGATCAAAAAATATCCAAGTTAAACTTTGTTTAACCGCCAAAACGAACGTCAGTTTCTTATGCACTGGTGTTTATCGGCAGTTTAGGTGCTAAGCAGAGAGGTGAGTTTGGTAAAATATATAAATTGTTATATAACGCACTGTATATCAAAAATTGAAACTTGTTATATATTTTTTGTCATAAAATCATTTCACTTTGCACATTTTTAATATTTATCATTAATATATCTTAAAGGAAATAATATAATAAGCCAAAATAATATAATTATTATATTCTACGTTAAAATTCTATTAGCTCTAATTATATTATTTTTTTTAAGATTGATTCAAAAACTTCCTCAAGGTCGAGCATTCATCTGCAGCGATACTAAAGAACTACCACAGATTCTGAAGCAAATATTCTCGTCTTCTGTAAATGTATGATCAATGTATATTTAGAAAATAGTTCAATTTTATTTATACTGTGTGTCCAACGAGTTTTTCGACAGATGACATCCAAGAAATGACAGAAAATGTCATTTGTCTGTTAATTAAAATGACAGACAAAACTGTCATTGCCGGGGATACTCTCGTTGGAGAGATTATAGCTGAATTTTACTGAGATTTATTTTTTAATTATGTATTTTTATAAATTATTAAATGGGACGTTATATGTTAATAATAAAAATAAATTATATTCTTCAGAAAATGTGTTTTTCTTCTGTCTAACGTAATATAATAATACAGTTGAGAGTACAGCAAACTACAACACTAGTTCACCACACAATACACTAAAACACTTTACTTTTGCACTGGGCGCGTGCCCCTAACCATGTTAGCGTCATCAGCAGATGATTAAAACTAAACTAATATCTACAAATTGAGCTTTTATATAGGCGTTGACACTGACCAAGCATGGCAGTCAAGCGAGTAAATAGGAACAGAGAATTGGAAGCAATTGGGCCATTATCTCTGTTCATATTTTTATATTTATTAATTTTGACACTCGTATATGCATCTAATTGCCTGTAATTTGAGACTACGCTTACACCAAGACACCTTACACATCTGTTGTTCAGAGGTGGATGGGAAACTATTTTGAAAAAATTGAAGGAATTTTAAAAAAATAGATAAAAATATTTTGCTAAATGAAAAGGCTGGGTAGTATTTCTCCAATGAAGCTACTTTGAGGACATTTAAGGAACATTTTGGGGGTACATATAAAATTTGATTATTTATTCTTTGTAAAATGCCACAGAGACTAACTAATTTAATGGGTAAGAACCTTATTAAAAAAATCTTATAATAAATAGTAATATACAACACACATAATATGCTTTTTATTCGATCCATCCCTTACGAATCATGAACAGCAAGGTGTCCCTGACCTTCCTCTTGTATTTTGGTGTCAGAACTGGCTCCCCATCTTCAGGCCACTTCTCGCAGGTGACAAAAGGCAATGCCTGCAGAATGTTAATCAAAACTTTCGGCGCTTCACTAGTCAGTTCTTGATAGAAATTCTTCAAGGTGTACTCTCCCGTGTAAACCTGACACTGAGTCAAAACTTCCAGAAACCGCTCAAAATAAATCTTCACCAGTGCTTCGTAATTTTTCTTCAAAACCTCCTGCTCCACGCTGGTAAACAGGAAATAGAGCAGATCAGACGTGCAGTGCAAATATTCGAACACTTGCAAATCCACGATCTTGCTAGACAGAGCATGACCCTTATCGTCTTTTATCAGCATCAAATTTAGAATGCTGTAATCCGAATGCGATAGTGTAATCCAGGTTTCGTCAGTATAATATTTCGTAAACCAGGTGTTTGCTTTGGAAAACTCTATAGCATTGAAAATGGCATCCAGATGAGGTTCTAGCTCGTTATCACCTTCAATCCCTTGCTTGATAATCGAATCTATTATTTTGTAGTATTCAGGATTCTTTGTATGTTTCTTGAACTCCGCCATGCTGGGCACCACCTTCTCCTGAAACACATCCAGATGCATAATTCTCATTGCCAAAGGAACTGCGTGAAACTGAGCCAGGTTGTGGACGAGCAATCTGGCAGCTTCCAGATCAAAACCACCATATACAATATTCTCCGATGCGTATCCTAGAGATTTCAAATTTTCCAGGATTATAACTGCTGTCTTATCCGGTATAGATTTGTCGTCTTCGACACTAACTCTGGCTCCAATACACTTAGCAAACATGTTGCTGTAAAGCTGATCCTCTGGAAACCCGTTCAAGCGTTGAAACTCGGTTAGAGCGGGGATTGTGAGGTTGTAGGTGTCCACTTCTTTCTTGAATCTGGTCAGGAGATCGAGGCGAATGTGGATTTTTACGTCTGGTTCGAAGAGTTTGATAAATAAATCAAGTTTTTCTTCTTGGCGCGATACTCTTTTGAAGATTTTTACTTTCAGTTCGTAACGGGATACTTTGGTTACGGGTAGGGGGACTGTGTAGGTGCTGGAGTCGAGAACGGTAATTTCTTCGCCAAAATACTTGCCTAGAAGTACATCGAGTAGTGGGACGAGGAATTTTGATTTAGCCATTGTTCAAAATGTTGGATGAATCTAAAAAATATAGTTTTATTTAATTGAAATGTGTTTACTTAAAACAATAGATATGTATATAGGAAAATCAAACAATTTTATTGATCATTAGTAGGTAATCATTTAAAAGATTTTATATAAGGATGTCTAGTATTCTGTAGAAATTTTTACACCAAACTGTACAATTTTTTATAACTATTTTGACAAAATTGAATGAATAATTTAAAAAAATGCTCAGATAAAAATATTATGCTGAATAAAAATGCTGCGTAGTATTTAGCCACTAAAAGGATTTTGAGAACTTTTAAGGAACATTTTGAAGTGCGAATCAAATTATATACAGGGTGAGTCTTAAATATGTGCAAATATTGTCAGGGCTGGTAGATCTCGATAAAAGAAACATATTTTCTCTTTACCGTTTTTTAAATAAGTCCAAAATAACCGAGTTATTTTACTTAGAAAATTTCCAAAAATATGTTTTTTTGCTTAAATTTTGAGAACCACTGTATCTTTTCTGGGTTTTCTTTCTTGTAAATTTAATCTACTACCTATGTTGCCATATTATTAAGAAATTATATTTTTTAAGTGAAAACTAAAAAATTTCCAAATTTTCGATTTTTTTTTCGTGAAAAAAAAATATGCTAAATAATATACTACCCCTAAAACATTTGCACTTATTTAAGGCTCACCCTGTATATCGGTCAGAAGTACCTCTGACCGTTATCAAGTATGGACTAAAAGGCTTTAGTTAAAGCGGTTAAAGGCTTATAATATGTCTTTATTTAATAAATGCAGCCAAAGATTGGTCATAAAGGTTGGTGTAAAATTTTCGTAATTGCAACAATTAAAAACGTTAATAACATGTTAATATATTATATTTACCTGCTTATCTTCGGACAACACAAACAGAACACTGACATCAAAATTTTATTAAAGAATTTAAACAGAGAAACAATAATACCAAATATTTCTTTTTTGCATTCAGGAAAAAATATACATGTCTATTTATAAATCATTTTTACACCTCAAGTAAAAAACTTAAATATCCATCGCAAACAAATATAAAATTATACACATACAGCATCTCAAAATGTCTATTAAAAATCTATGTCAACAAGAATTAAAGTACGTTATTAGGAAATAAATTTAATAACGCTTTAATAAATTGTGCTGTATTCTAAATGATTAAATAACAGCTTCTAAATTCAGTGTAGAATACATAAAAAATTAAATTATTTGTAAAATGAAAGTTGGTAGGTAGGTAAGTCATTCAAAGGAATTACAACATCTTATGATTAATTAAACAACTACAGAGTCGTCACTTATTTTACTCTTTTTAGACTCTCTTAATTCCTGCATTGTTAGTAACCCGCTATATTGTATTATGTATCTACAGGGTGATCCAGTCTCAGGTTATTACCTTACTGGGGGGCAAAGTGTATTTTTAAGGACCTAATTTTAAAACAGCTCAACGGAAGAGTTTCAAAGTTAGGTAGCCTGATGGTAGTCTGATCTCAAAAAAGTACTTTAAAACGTGTCATTTTAAACAAATAAATAACCAGAATACCTTTAAAATTTACATGGGATATCTTATACAGAGTGTCCCAATAATGTGCACTTAGCAAAACATAGACGCCCAAAAACCTCACTCAAATAGAAATAACGATTCTTAAAATATTTTAAAAATATATTTATTTTTTGAAAGTTTGATGCCCTCTAACGGGACAAACGAAGTACTTTTGTAAAAAGGTAAATTGTGCCCATAATGACTTTATTTTGATTCTAAAAAGACGTAGTAGTTCTATGTCCACGGAATATTGGGACACCCTGTATGTCCTGAGACGATGTATAATCCGATATATCATAAATTGGGACTACGAGTAGTTTTTATTTAATGAATGAAATAATATCTATTAATTTACCAACAACTGTAAAGTTTATTTTAAAATCTTAATTTTAACAATCTTACTATTAAACAAATTAATAATCTGATTGTTTGACTTTATTCGTTTTTGATTCAAAATAGATTGCATTTCAATGAAATCTGTTTTTAACTTCCTGCTAATTAGAATAGCATACCTCGGTTAATAAAATTTATCTAAGAATGTTATTTAGTATTCGTTCAATAGCTAATTATTGTCCAAGAAACTACACATCCTTTTTGATTCTGTTTAAAAGGGATTCTCTTACATTTTAGGAAAATTTAAAATCGCTATAAAAGATCAATAGTTAAAGATTAGAATAATTATTTAAATATAAACTTTACCAAGAAAAAATCTATTTCAATTATTGTTATTTGTTACACAATATATCGTAGGGTTTTTCTGAAATAAAGTGTTTTTACTCTCATACAAATAAAAATAAAATAAAAATCATCTAAAGTTATCTCAATTGATTAATATAAATTATTATTGAGTGATCTTAATGTCCTTGAACGTATACATATAGATACACATTATGTAGAATTAATATATTAATGATGGTTTAGGAAAATTTTTGGAACTTTTTCGTTACAGCTAATTTTTTTTTTCGTGTATTTCGCTAATCTAATGTTAAGGACAGATTACTGTAATAATTTACATAAAAAAATAAGCAGTTATTTGGCAAAATTAATACTGTTTTCAGACTAATTATCTCAAATAAATTATAGTGGAGTGGTTTGAATAAAATTAGTAGGTATGATATAGCCTTGTTTAGGATTTCAGGCTACTTATCCGAGGTTTTTGGGTACTTAAAATTATTTTTAACTGTTTATTTACAACTGCGTATTTTTTTACTTTTTCTTTCCACATTGGTATACAGGGTTCGGCAATAGTGCGTCGGGCATATGTAGTTCCTATAATAAACAACTTAGAAATGTTGAATAAGTGCAAACCTAAAGTATGTATTAGGATGTATTTCAGGAAAATATTTTAACTTCTACAGAATGGCTCAAAAAAATGTAATTGGATCGGAATGATTTTTTTTTTAATGGAACACCCTGTATGTTATTGCATTTTTGGCTTCCTTCCAGATCACTTTACATAACCCTGAGATATAGGTAAATATATTTCGATAGTTTCAGAGATATTAATAAATAAATAAAAATTAAATATTTTTACAGACTTTCTTAAAAAAATTATTAAAAATATAAGAACACCCCTGAAATCAAAACTATATTAGGTTTTTACTTTAGATGGTCCGTACTTACTTTGCTATAAATATGGTAATCGTAAATCATACAGGATGTTCAAAATTCTACGCGAAACTACGAAAATTTCTAAAATATGAAATAATTTTTCTTGTTCTATTTTTTAAATGGAACACCTTGTATATTATTTTTTCAATAGATGGAAAATTAAAAAATAAACATGTTTTTTTAGAATACTTCAAAATTCTTAACGGTTTCGCAAATATTCGCGGTAAAAATTCCCAATTTTCAAAAAAAATGTTCGCGAAAAAAATCTCATAATCGTGTTTGTGGAGTCGAAACATATTACCCCTAAAAATATTTGCACTTATTTAAGACTTACCCTGTATAAACCCATATACAGGGTATCTCAGAAATAAGTGCAAGTAATTTAATGAGTGGTAGATCTCGATAAAAGAAACATATTTTCTCTTTATCGTTTTTCAAATAAGTCCAAAATAACGGAGATATTTTACTTTGAAAATTTCAAAAAAAAAATATTTTTTGCTCAAATTTTGAGAACCACTGGATCTTTTCTGGATTTTCTTTCTTGTAAATTTAATCTACTACCTATGTTGCCATATTATCAAGAAATTAGGTTTTTTAACTAAAAACTAAAAAAAAAGAAATTCCAAAAAATTTTCCAAAAATTTTTTTTCCGAAAAGAACCTCATAGGTGTATTTCTGGGGTTGAACTATACTACCAGTTAAAATATTTGCACTTATTTATGAGACACCTTGTATAGTTAACTTAAAAAAATAGAAAACTCTCTTTAGTGAAAAAGATGAATTGGTATGGATTTTATCTGCCTTTCTCTGTCATCGTCTGTCGAAATCTGTCCTGCGTTGTTATTCAGATTATAGATCTGTATAAAATAAATATATTTATCTTTGTCATTTTTAAAATAAGTCCAAAATATAACCGAGTTATTTTATTTTGAAAATTTAAAAAATAATGATTCTTTTCTTAAATTTTGAAAACCACTGGATTTTTTCTGTTTTCTTTTTCCTTTCCTCTAAATTTAATCCCTTCTTTCTGTGTTGCCATACTATTAAGATATAACATTAATCAACTAAAATTTTTAAATTTTGACAATTTTTTTCAAAAAACGTGTCAGATTCAAGGGTCGAAATCAACTACCCTTAAATATATTTGCACTTACATATTTATGACTCACCCTGTATATAAACAAAATAATTGGGTTAAATTGGCATTGAGTACTCAAAAAATTGAAACAATGGAAACTGATGCATTCCCAATAGCTGCCATGCATTTAAAAAAAATACCCGTTTTTGAAGGTTCTCATTAAAAATGATTTGAAAATTGGGTGAAAATCTACATGTGCAAACAATGAGCTAGAAATAAAAATTTATACATTTTTTTATGTTTTGTAGTAAAAAATAAAATAAAAATTTAATATTTTGGATAACATTCAGTAGATAATCGATAAATGCATTTCGTAGCTGCGTAAATATACATGATCCTTAAGAACATGACAATCTGACCTATTTTCCAATCGTACGTACCATACTGAAAGCAGTACTTAAATAGATAACATCCGATTATCCAGTCAATTAGATAATCGCGCTTGGCTTATTATCATAAGACACCGGCAAAAATACACGCTCGTACCTCCCCCCTTTCCCCCCTATACCCCTCGCGGCGTTCAAAACCGAAAAATTAACTCGATTGTTTTTAGTTAAGTTTTTGTCGCCGCCTATAAACGATCAGTACCCGCGTATCGGTCGTACTAACCGCTAGTACTCACGCAACAATGGCTAAATCGAAAGTAGCCGATCTCCAGAGCCTACTGCGGCGCTCAGTAGGCGAGGACATAGAAATTTTGGATGAAAAAACCACCCTGCTCACCGCTCCAGGTGAGCACTACGGCTCCGTAATGCTCGCGCTTGAGGTCAAGATCAAACGCCACTCAAAACAACCTGAAGAAGAGTTAAAATTAGTCGCTAAACTCATCCCAGCCAACGAAATGCTCAGACTAGCTTTCGACATTCCAGTAACTTTCAAAAAAGAAGTCATAGCCTACACAGAATCCATTCCAACATTAGTCCAGTTCCAGTTAGAGCACAACGTTCCAGAACGTGACCTACACGACAACCTGTTCCCTAGATGCTTCGGAGCACGCTTGAACCTGGACGAGAACAAAAACTCAACCGTCAACGAGGACGCGGTTCTTATTTTCGAAAACCTCAAAGTCCAGGGCTTCGTAACTGAAGATAGACTCAAAGGGTTTGATTTGAGTGCCACCAGGGTGATTCTGAAAGATCTGGCTAGGTTCCATGCCACCCCTATAGCTCTGAGACTCCTTAAACCTGAACTGTTCCAACAAAAAGTTCTTCCGAGTGGTGTGTTCAATCGGGGACTTGATACACTTCCTGAAGAAGTAGGGTTGGCGTTCCATAATGCTATTCTGGATGGTGCGAGGGATGTTCCGGAACTAGGACCTTATTTGGAGAGGATTCAGAAGGTTGCTGATGCAGGTGCCAAGAAACCCTGGGTTTTGAGGGAGAATGAAAGTGATGTTTGGGGTACAATCTGTCACGCAGACTTCTGGGTCAGTAACACCATGATCCTCAAGGATGAAACAGGTAAAACCATCAAAAACAAGATCGTGGATTTACAGTTAAACAGATTTTGGTCCTGTGTAACTGACCTAGTCTTCTTCTTGTACACCAGCGTGGTTAACAGTGTTCTTGAAGAACACTTTGATGAATTCCTTAAACTCTATCACGAAAATTTAATTAAGAATCTCTCATATTATTCTTTGGATCTGGAACCGTACTCCTGGAATAATTTTCTGGAAGAGTTGAATAAAGTGGCCCCTACAGAAATATACCATGTGTTGATAATGTTGAAACCGATCTGTACTGAACGAGGTAAAGTGACAAATAGTTCGGAGGAGTTTCAGGATACTGACTGGAGTAGGAAAGATTTGTTAGGTCCCAATCATCGGAGAAAACTGAAAGATACAGTTTTGTCTCTGGTGAAACGAGGATGGATATAAATAAATTGTTTTATTTTTAAATTAGTTAATTATATAAATAAAAAGTGTTTCGAGGTGGGTGTAATTAATTATAGCTTAAGTAAAAGTATGAAATGACATATAGTGATATTTTTTCTAATGTTTAGAATTAAATAAATTTTATAAGAAATATATAAAAAGTATATCTATATTAAATCTATGTTCAAAAATCTTTGGCTAATTTTTTTTACAATAATGTTCATAATTTTTCAAGTTATTTAAAAATGTAAATAATTAATTTTTTTATGCTTAAGTTCCATATTGTTACTTTATTTTTAATAAGTTGTAGATAAAAATAAAACACATTGTACATATTTATTACATGTTATTTTTTGTCAATATTATGTATTCCATACCCAAAGAAATAATAAAATATTTTGTCTTCTTTTTTATTTGTTAATAATTGTTTTATTATAGGCCCAAAAACTTTCAATAGAAATATACAGGGTGAGTCTTAATATGGTAAATAAGTGCAAATATGGTAAATTAGTGGTAGTGTATTTTGACCCCAAAAACACGATTGAGGGTTTTTTTGAGAATTTTTTTTAATTTGACTTTTTTGAGTGGTTCTCAAAATTTAAGCAAAAAATATATTTTTTTTAATTTTCTAAGTAAAATAACTCGATTATTTTGGACTTGTCTGAAAAATGATAAAGAGAAAATATGTTTCTTTTACCGAGATCTACCAGGCCTGAAAATATTTGTACTTATTTAAGACTCACCCTGTATAATTGAAAATCTATTTATTTTTTTGAGACACAGCAATCATAGTATTGACCATCTTACACGGAATATATTTTTTTTTGTTAAAACTTGTATTATATATACAGGGTTGTTCACCACATACGACACGGAGTATTGTAGCTAAACGATTAGATTTTTACAAAATGTAAGATTTGGGTTCGTTGAAGGACTATTAGAGCTACAATTTAAAAATATTTTTACAAGATACAGAGTGTCCCAAATAAATAAAAAATATCAAAGTTGTATTTTTTTAAATGGAACACCCTGTATATTATTGCATTTTTAGTTTCTACCATTAAAATAAAGGTAAATTTGATTAAGGTTTATTACACTTAAACCTTACCGTTTTTGAAATATTTTCAATTTTGCTAAATTGCAGTATAAATTTTAAGGCTTCATTTCTCCGAGGATATCAAAGTTTTTAATACTAAATATTTACTGAAGTTTATTTATTGATCAGTTATTGTGTTGCAATAATAAAAATTATACTACCTTATACAGAGTGTCTAAAAATTTATTTTAAATAATTACTAGTTCTAAACGGCAATAACTTATTTACTTTAAATAGAACACCCTGTATATTTTATGAGAATCAGATGCACAATTTAATTGTCTATCAAATTGTATTATACCACTTCTTACTTATTCTTTCAAGTTTTCGTAGAAAATGCATTTTCTTATAATTTAGACCTCATTTATCAATATACCCATGGAATATTGACATTTTAGATTGTTTTTAAAACAACAAATGTAAAAAATGTACAGGCTAGTAATATTATCGTTTTTAGTAAAACGATAATATTACTAACCATTTATATGCAAAAAGAAAACTATCTAAATCTTGATAAAAGAGTATACCATTAATTAAATATACCACCAGTATTTCCGCCCAAATACTATTTAACTACATACTTAATTGTGTTCGTTAATAAATTATTCTAAATAAATGTGGATTTGAATCAGAAATCAATATAATAATAAGTTATGAAAATGAACGTCTCTGTTGTTATAAATAAGCATTTGTCAAAAAATTAAATATCATTTTTAAGGTGTTACTTTTTACCACACTGTCTAATACACATACATAATTCACTTTTTTAGTATTGGAGCAATATTAGTATCTGTACTCTTTAAAAATTTGGTACATCTTTAAAAATAATCTAAAATGTCAGTATTCCATGGGTATATTGATAAATGAGTTCTAAATTACAACAAAATACATTTTCTACGGAAACTTGAAGAGATAGGTAAAAAACGGTATAATACAATTTGATAGACAAATAAATTGTGCATCTGATTCTCATAAAATATACGGGGTGTTCCATTTAAATCAAACAAGTTATTGCCGTTTAAAGCTAGTAATTATTTAAAATAAATTTTTAGACACTCTGTATAAGGTAATAAAGTTTTTATTATTGCAACACTATAGCTGATCAATAAATAAACTTCAGTGAATCTTTAGTATTAAAAACTTTGATACCCTCGGAGAAATGAAGCCTTAAAATTTATACTGCAATTTCACAAAATTGAAAATATTTCAAAAACGGTAAGGTTTAAGTGTAATAAACCTTAATCAAATTTACCTTTATTTTAATCGTAGAAACTAAAAATGTAATAATATATAGGGTGTTCCATTTAAAAAATACAACTTTGATATTTTTTATTTATTTGGGACACCCTGTATCTTGTAAAAATATTTTTAAATTGTAGCTCTAATAGTCCTTCAACGAACCCAAAACTTACAATTTGTAAAAATCTAGTCATTTAGCTACAATACTCCGTCTCGTATGTTGTGAACAACCCTGTATATATGTATATTTACAGAAAAGAATACCAAGTTGTGTAAAAAATAGAAAAATATAAAAAAATACATTTTTAATACTATAAAATTTAAAGTAAAATGTATTAATATATTATTAGTATAAAAAAATATTTTAATATATACAGAGTGAGCCTTAAATAAGGCTACATATTTTCAGGGTTGGTAGGTCTCGATAAAAGGCTATATTTTCTGTTTAACATTTTAACCGTTTTTTCTCAACAGTTTTTAAAAATAGTTCAAAATAGCCAAAAAAATTTACTTTAAAAATTAAAACAAAAACTATATTTTTGTTCCTCTAAATTTTGTCAATTATTGTTTATAAAATAGTAAAAAATTACTTTTGCGTGTTACAAAAGAGTTTTGCGTGACATTTTTTAAAATTTTTAAAAGTCAACAAAATACGAATAACAAATTATTATATAAGAATATTATGTTTGATTAGATACGCACAATAAAAAACTAATAAATCAACTTAACTTCAAATATATTTGACATATTTTATGATTCAAACATATATTATAATAAAAACTTTTCTTAATCTGTATAGATGAATAATTGAATTTGAGTGTTTTAAAACGTTTAATATACAGTATGATACCCCTGGTTGTCTTTACAAAAGATTTTTTTTTATTATTAACATTTTAAGAATTGTTAAGTCCTACAAATTCAAAACGCGCATCCATGGTAATGGTGATATCACTTCGTTTTTATTTTTTGATAAATAGTTATTATTAATATTTATTAACATCATATTTTTGCTGTTTTAGAATGTTAAAGAAGAAACAAATTTATTTAGTTCAATGTTACAGAAACGTTAATACTACTTATCAGAAAGGGTGACACTGTAACAACAGTAAAAATACGATAATAACCATCTTTCAATGAATGAAAACCTAGACGTGATTTTTAGGACTAGGAAACTAAGAAAATAGGAACATTCAATCATATTTTTTTTTTTATTTTTCTCTAAAACGATATGAAAATTTGGAAGAGTATAAGCCAAAAAAATCATCAGATACGTTTTTCTCAAAATGTAATAATAAAAAAGCTCTTCCTCCTGTGAAGACGATCCAGGGACATACTGTATATTTTATAGTGTATTTAATACTTAACACTTGGTTAAAAGAATATACAGAAAATAAAAAATTCCTAAAGTCAATAATAACTATAATTACAAATAATGATCTATTCTTTTAATATTTTTTATATTTTTTCAGTTATCTGTTTCAAAGATTATTTCCAAACCTGTTGCAATTATCTATTCGTGTATTACCAAAGTGTAACAAATTGTATGAAAGGTTCGCTTTTACGTTTGAATTGTTTATTAGTAACAGGTGGCACAAAATCGCTGTTATAACTCAGTTATTACTGCAAAAAAGTGAAAGACAGATGCCTGAGTCGAATTTGTACATTATGACTTGCAACAAACAATGCGACACAAAGACTCTCTAAAAGCAATTTAAAGAGAAATTGCATTTGAAAAAAAATGCATTCGAAAATAATAAATATTTTCTTGCTAAAACTTTTACCTGTTTTATTATGTTTACAAAAATAATATCTATAGATACGTTTATGACAGATTTCTATCTACTATACCTGATAAATTTGAACATTTGAACTTCTCTTTGAACAATGAAATCAGAAATTGTTTCTTTATCATATTAATAGCGTGTACCCGCGACTTCGTTCGCGTCGAATTAATCATTTGTAATGGTGATGATAAAGCAAAGCAAGAATTTCCATTAACATACAAACTGGTTAAAATTTTCTCACATTTATGTCAGGATGAGAAAAAACTATATGGCGATATTATTATATAACTTGGTAATATTTGAGGGGTAGTTTCATCTCGTTGGAATTTGACTTTCGAAAAATCCGTTTGCCAAAAATAAGCTTTTTACGTCAAGAAGTTTAAGCAGAATCGTGGTTAAGAAATTACCCAACTTTTTGGAACACCCTGTATGATTTTTTAAAAAATTTCAAAATATGTAAATAAACAAAATAAATTATGCGTGTCCAAGCGTTTTCCCAAAAGACTAACCGTTTTTTAAAAAACAAATATTGTAATTTTTTAGGGACGTTTTCACCCTCTTGGAATTTGAGATTCGAGAAAACCCTCCTTATCGAACCTCTACACCCCACAGTCAATCCGTTTGCCAAAAATCAGCTTTAAACGTCAAGCAGTTTAAGCAGAATCGTGATTACTCAATGGTCATATTTTATGAAACACCCTGTATAAATTTTTAAAAAATCTTAAAATATGTAAAACAACAAAATAAAATATACGTGCTTAAGCGTTTTTTCGGAAACTTGGCCGTTTTTTAAATAAAAAATATTGTAATATTTAAGGGATAGTTTCACCGCCTTGGAAAAACTCACCGGTTTTTAAATAAAAAATATTCTAATATTTGAGGGGTGGTTTTACTCCCTTAGAATTCGAGTTTCGAAAAATCCCTTCTTATCGAACCTCTACACCCTAAAGTCAATCGGTTTTTCAAAAATCAGCTGTTTACGTCAAGCGCTTTAAGCAGGATCGTGATTAATCAATGACCAGATTTTTCGAAATACCCTGTATACATTTTTAAAAAAATCTTAAAAATATTTAAAAAAACAAAATAAAATATACAGTACGTCTGTTGGATCTGTGTCTATGAAAGGAATGCGGACAAAAAAACATTTAAATAAACAGCAATATATTTTATACGTCGATTTGACGAGTGCGTCACCGCAAATCGTTCCGCCCACTCATTTTATTGGCTACTTCATCGAGAGAATATCGTTTCCCCTCTCACGGATACCCCGTAGCTACAGAACGGACAGACGTACTGTACGTGTTTAAGCGTTTTTTAGGAAACTTGGCCGTTTTTTAAATAAAAAATATTGTTATATTTGAGGGATAGTTTCACCCCCTTGGAACTGGAATTTCGAAAAATCCCTTCTTACCATGTATGCCAAAATTGAGCTTCTTACAGTTCGTTTGCTGGATCTGTGTCTATGAAAGGAATGCGGACAAAAAACATTTAAATAAACAGCAATATATTTTTTACGTCGACTTGACGAGTACGTCACCTCAAATCGCTCCGCCCACTCATTTTATTGGCTACTAATTTGTCGAATTTTTATTGATGGGACGCGTCGTCTAATTTTTTACGAAAAACATCGAGAGAATATCGTTTCCCCTCTCACGGATACCCCGTAGCCTCAGAACGGACAGACGTACTTGTAAAGCACGTCTGCTGGATCTGTGTCTATGAAAGGAATGCGGACAAAAAAACATTTAAATAAACAGCAATATATTTTATACGTCGACTTGACGAGTACGTCACCGTAAATCGCTCCGCCCACTAATTTTATTGGCTACTTGCAAATTTGTCGAATTTTCATTGATGGGACGCGTCGTCTAATTTTTTACAAAAAACATGGAGAGAATATCGTTTCCCCTCTCACGGATACCCCGTAGCTACAGAACGGACAGACGTACTGTACGTTGAGTGGTTTTGAGCAGGATCGTGATTAATCAGTGAGTCAGTCACTTAAGAATTTTATATATTACTATAGATTTTCTCTCTTGACCCTTTTTGCCTGATATTTCTGGTTATTTCTTTAATTATTATTAATACAATAGATAACCTTAGTATTTACTTCCTTAGTACTTACCTACAAATAATTAGAATTATTTTTTCTTAGCTAGATATTAAGCAGATGCGTAACTTTTAAAGTATAATAATTTTATTTAGTTTAATAACAGTTACCTACAAATTTCTAATACAAGGTGTCCCAGAAATAAGTGCAAATATTTTAACTGGTAGTATAGTTCAACCCCAGAAACACGCCTATGAGGTTTTTTTTGCGAAAAAAAAATTTTGAAGATTCGAAATTTTTTGAAAAATTTTTTTGGAAATTTTTAGTTTTAAAACATAATTTCTTGATAATATGGCTACATAAGTATTAGATTAAATTTGCAAGAAAGAAAATCCAGAAAAAAATTCAGTTGTTCTCAAAATTTTAACAAAAAATCATTTTTTTGGAAATTTTCAAAGTAAAATAACTCCGTTATTTTAGACTTATTTGAAAAACGATAAAGAGAAAATATGTTTCTTTTATCGAGATCTACCACCCCTTAAAATATTTGCACTTATTTCTGGGACACCCTGTATAGCATCATATGACCTTCATAATTATACAAGTTGTTTAAAAATTGATAGACTATTAAATAAAATTATAAAGTCTATAAAATACTGTAAACAAAGGTAAAAACAAAATGTCGGTGTCAAATCAAAAGCTAATATTATAAATCACTATGAAAATTTATCTTGTATAATACAGGGTCTGTTCTTCACCAGCTCCTAGAATAAAAAACTTGGTAACTTTGATTAAGTGCAAACCTAAAATATGTACTAGGTTGTATTTTACGGAGCTATATACTATATTAGTCTTAAAAAAGTGTGAATGAATCGGGATTATTTTTTAATGGAATACCCTGTTAAAATATATTATCAACTTATCCTAAGATATGGGGATATGTCCAAAATTGTCCAATTTGACATGTAAATTTGTAAATTTACCATACACACATTTTTAAAACTCCTATTTATTTTCAAAATTTGCAGAGATTTCTATGATTCCAACTATGATGCATCACCCGGTATGTAGATATTGAAGAATATAGTTTTTATAATCAGGCATCATAGATATGTTTGCGAGAGCGTATCTACCGGGTGCGTCTGAAAAGTGGCTCACCACTTTTTTATTTTTTCAGATAAAAAATCGGGATTTGGTATGTTAGTATATGACATAAATTAGGATTGATTGACGTATTCAACTGTTTTCGGTCACTTCCTGTTTCACAGAAAATGACTACAACTTTTGATTCTTAAATGACACCTTCCGTATTTTATTACTTTACTCGATAGAAAATAACACTCTGAATAGAATGACATATGATATGTCAACTTTTGATCTGAATATGATTTATTTGAAGTTGCAAAATGCGATTCATAACGACAATTTGACTCGAAATACCAAGTGTGTGGTACCACATTATTCGTAAAAAATGCTTTTTCCAAATATGCTAACGAGCCACCCTCGTTCCATTTGAAAAAATTGAGATACTATGATTACAACGGCCAGGACATTAACTTTTAACCGGCCAGGACATGAGACAATCAAATATATTTTCCAAGGTTCCTTGATTATAAATTAGTGTTTTTACCACAGCCATGACATCCTAGATTGAAATTTAAAATTTAATTTTCTATTAAGCAAAAATACCATAGTTTACATATTATTATATGTCATTCTATTCAGAGTGTCATTTATTATCCGGTGAAACAGGAAGTGATCGAAAACAATTGAATAATATGTCAATCAATCCTAATTTATGTCATATACTAACATACTAAATCTCGTTTTTTTTTATTTGAAAAATAAAAAAGTTATAATGGTGAGCCACTTTTGAGACGCACCCGGTATACGATACCTTTACATATTTTTATCTATATAGACTGTTCAACGATGTCTAAATAACAATAAAATCGTCTTGATATCAATAAAGTTGTTATTTTCTTGTTATTCTGCGATAGGACTGATATTCACATTAATCAGTAAACAATAAACCTACACCTAAGTTTATAATGTTTGTTCACAAGAAATAAAATACCAGACACCCAATCTTACTGATTAAAAATTATATATTACTATGTCAATAATAAAACATTTTCAGCTGTACATCGCTATTGCATTCATTTTATCTCACCGAATATTATTATTATTTACAGGGGCGGGTCTAGACCTTTTTTGAAGGAGCCTAAATTCCTACAACTTCAAGCAGACATTTTTCTACTTATGACACGATTTTTATCAAAATACATCAAGATATTTAAATAATTAACATGCCTTAACTTTACAACAACTAATAAGAATCATAAATAAATGTAAAAACAAAAAGTCAAGATTAATGAGATTTTTTATTTTTACAGCATCCTTTGCAAATTGTTGATGATTCAGTATAAATGAATTTTATCTATATAATCACTCAAGTAGCCCCTCCTATAGAGACGCCCCTGCTTATTTTTATTACTTAAAATAAACTAAATACGTAGGAATAGTATATCTTTCTCTAATTATGTACAAAAAACAAAATAAAAAGAAATAACAGTAAAAATCTAACATAATATGTATACACTAATATATTTTTATTTTATATTCACTTGGTTGCCGAGTTACTTCACTTGGTTGTTCTTCAAATAACCATCCAGCCATTTTTCGATGACTGGTAGGTTTTCGTTGCTCCACTTGGTTTCTTCCTTGATATTTTTCAAGGCTTTTTCTATGACGAAATCTGCGTTTCCAAATTCTGTTTGTCTTTCCAAATAGAGTTCGGACACCATATCCAGTCCTTCTTGTGTTTTAAACACTGTGGTAGCGGATGTTATGATGCTGTTCCAGAGCATGGGTTTTTCTTCAAACCTGTGTTGATTGGGAAAATAGACAAATTAGAATTTTAAAAAAAATGTTATTTATCTATGAAGGTTGTTATGCAGGGTCCAGACCAAGGCGACAAAAGGTAAACAACATTTTGAGACAAAAACAAGACAAACTTGCGACAAAAATGGGGAATTCTGTCAAGACAAACTTGAGACAAAATGTCCACACCGCAAGAACAAAAGTACAACAAAGTCAAAAGTTTAGTTGTTGCGAATGAGTTTTTTTAACCATGTGTGATTTCACTGATCTCCTACTGTTGGCAGCACACGCCACATCCATACAGCGCCGACAACTTGCCGTAAAATATTCGAACAAAACATAGACACTTTGATCTTTACTGACTCGAGACGGGACATTGAAAAGTCTCCGAATTTTGAAACAAAACAAAAATTAGACAAAAATGTCGCTGAAATGTATTGGATTTGTCGCAATTTTGTCGTAAAACATGAATGTTTCTGTCTTGTCGTTGTTTCGTCTGCTTTGTCTGGACCCGGCATTAGTTATTAAAGGCAAAATTTGTGTTAGTTGTCAAAGTTATTAACACTTTATAATTCCCATGATACATAATTTTATTTCTCACTGAAAATTTGTATATTTTGTCCCATCTTTAAAAGACACAAATGTTGCATTTATTAATCTTCGTTATATTTTTTTAATATTTATTCGTATTAACGCTGCTGGTAAGAACTTTGCTTGTTGCCAGGTTGTTGTCAATCGAGTTCAGGTTTGTCAAGATTTTTTTAATATTTTTTTTAACTAAGAAAAAAAAACAACCAAATTTTCCATTAATTTACACACCATTTGTTATTAGATTTTTCATCTGTTTTCAGTGGAAACAACTTTCACGTCAAATTCAAGATATCGTTCTCATAGACAGATACATATTGCCGAAACAAATCAAGTGCGCTGTGCCTTTGCTCTGGTACAAGTGTAATTACGTTTTGTAATATGACCTAATTTATTTATGTATGTGTGGATATTGCAAAATTAAGCGTCCGCATTTTTAATTATTCCATTTCAATTTCGGTTATCCTAAGCGTTTGATTGAACAAGGTTAAGGACAAATATTAGACCTCAGAGTGATAAATAAAATTACTAATAAAAAAAAGTTCATAATCATTAAAAATATAGCCCTATAACTTTTTTATTTGTTCAGTTGAAAAATCTACACTTGGTATGTTAGTATATGACAAAAATTAGGAATGATTGACGTATTCAATTGTTTTTGGTCACTTCCTGTTTCACCGGAATTAACTACTTTTGATTTTTAACTAGCACCCTCGGTATTTTGTTAATTTATTCGATAGTAAATGACACTCTAAGTAGAATGACATATATGTCAACTTTTCACATTTTAGAATATCGTTTATTTGAAATTGCAAAATGTGATTCATAACGTTTTCTACCGAATAATGTAAAAAATATCATACCATCTAAAAATTAAAAGTTGTAGTCATTTCCGGTGAAACAGGACGTGACCGAAAAGAATTGAATAGGTCAATAAATCCTAATTTATGTCATATTACTAACATACCAATTTTTCTCAAAAAAAAATTAAAAAGTTATAGCGGTCATCCACTTTTGAGACGCAACCGGTATATTTTGATTTATACCACAGACTATTCATAACCAGCCTGTCAACTTAATATTATTTGCATGGAAATCTGCGTAGCTATCTAGATATTCACTTAGGTATCGTATGTTAAGACGGAACCACACATTTAACTTTAAACTGAAATAAATACACACAGTTCTAAAGACATGAAATGCTGTAATGAATTATAATTTGCTCTTTTTTAATACTCTGAGCGACAGTAATTATAACATGAACGTTAATAATAATTATCAAAAATATTAGTAATGCTTGCCCATTATATTTTTTTAGATCTAATAAATTATTTTAAACTAGCTTATTCAGTATAATTATTTCAAGTAAGCCATAATTTATGGCGATATGCTTTTATTATCATTATTTTTTACGTTATCAACAAAAAGGAATTCAAATTAACGAGCTTCAAACTGAACAACGGTAAAAAATATATGCACCTCGTTTTGAAGTGCGTTTACTTTAAAATTTAGTTGTACAAAATGGAATAAACAATATTTATTTTATATTGCAACATAGGTACTAAGTGTCAAAATTAACCAATGGAGCGAATTTGCATATAATAACGATTTGCTAATATTAGTTTTCTATAGCAATGTCCAAATACTTTGAACGTTTATCATTTAGTAGTTCTCAACTGATCAGAGGCGTAGAGGATATAAATAATTAAAAAGAGATACCTGGTTGACCAGGTTAATTTTTGTTTTAAATATCTAGTAAAGGTGGTTAGGGTAGTCAATGATGAGAAAAAATATATAATTTAAGTAACACAGTAGCCACTTCCCCTAGGAGATGCAAGACCTTGTCGTTGGTGGGGAAGCTCCTGGTCAGGTGCTGGGGGGAATCCCCTCTAGCCCTTGGCTTGGTCTAAGAAGCATCTCACTCATCGTCTTGTTCCTGACTGTAGTGTCGTGGCCAGGGAATTGCACCAAGACATATAACGATACCGGGCGGGGCTACGGACATACTCAACCTTGGGGCACCGGGGGACACCCCATTGTATTTTACCCCTTACTTCTACATGCGGGGCTCTGTAGAAGTGGACCGACTGTCCCTAGCGACTCATAGGAACACTATGAGATCTGATAATAATAGTAATAAAAACATCACCGGTGAAGCTGTGGGGAAACCCCCTAGCGACACTGGGAACAGTAACAATGAAAGTTCCAAGGGGCCAAACCCAAAGAGAACTACAGGAGAGGTGGCTGACACTTGCGTGAGACCATCCTCCGCAAGTGGCATACAAGCTAGCACCTCCTCCAAGGGTCGGGAGCCTACCTCCTACCTCTAAATCCAACAGGCGACACAAGCTACCGTTTAGTCTACCCGGCCTTTATCATTTAGTAGTTCTCAACTGATCAGAGGCGTAGAGGATATAAATAATTAAAAAGAGATACCTGGTTGACCAGGTTAATTTTTGTTTTAAATATCTGGTAAAGGTGGTTAGGGGAGTCAATGATGAGAAAAAATATATAATTTAAGTAACACAGTAGCCAGCAGATGACACATCTACAATACCGTGTGTTACATCGTCGACGTGAACATAGGAAATCCCATGTAAATTTTAAAAATTGTAAGGTTTCCCCATTTTATTTTACAGAAAAATATGTATTTGAAACTTTTCAAAGAACTCCTTAAAATGAAGCAAATTTATTTTGAATAATTTATACGAATTTATTTTGGGTTTATGGGAGATACAAAAATACTATGGTCAACTTTCGTTTAGCTGAAATCAGTTATTAGAAAAAAAAAATTTGTCTTTAAAAAGCTACTGTGAACCACGAAAAACAGAAATTTTTCTGCGGAAATGCGTAATTTCCAAATTTCGCACTTTAGAATAACTGAAATCTACTATAAAAAAATACATTTTGAGTTTTATTTTTAATATTTTTCGGAACATATAAACACAAAAATTTTCCTGCGGAAATAAGCTGTTTTCATTTTCTAAGGAAATTTATTAGACTTTAGAATAGCTGAAATCAGTTATATAAAAAATAAATTTATTTTTGCTTTTTAGAAGCATTCACGAATTGAGGAAAATAAAAATTTTCCTGCGGAAATAAACCGAATCCATTTTCTGAGGAACCTTAATAGAGTTTAGAATAGCTGAAATCAGTTATATAAAAAATAAATATATTCTTGCTTTTTAGAAGCGTTTACAAACTCAGGAAAATAAAAAAAAATGAAATGTTTGATTTTCATTTTCCATTTTTGTAAGCATAAATACATAAAAAATTATCTTTTTATCACTTTTGAACCAAAAAGAATAATTTAAAAGTGTCTAAAATGCTAACTAATCTAATAATAAATTTAATAATATTTTTACAAAATCACAATTAATTATTAAAATATAAAAACCACAACTTAACACCCTCCACAAAGAAAAGCTAACCAAAGCAACCCAAATCCTAACTAATCTAATAATATTTTTGCAAAATCACAGTCAATTATTAAAATATAAAAACCATCTGGTAAAGGTGGTTAGGGGAGTCAATGATCGGAAAAAATTTATAATTTAAGTAACACAGTAGCCAGCAGATGACACATCTACAATACCGTGTGTTACATCGTCGACGTGAACATAGGAAATCCCATATAAATTTTAAAAATTGTAAGGTTTCCCCATTTTATTTTACAGAAAAATATGTATTTGAAACTTTTTAAAGAACTCCTTAAAATGAAGCAAATTGTTTATTTTGAATAATTTATACGAATTTATTTTGGGTTTATGGGAGATACAAAAATACTAGGGTCAACATTCGTTTAGCTGAAATCAGTTATTAGAAAAAAAAATTTTGTCTTTAAAAAGCTACTGTGAACCACGAAAAACACAAAATTTTCTGCGGAAATGCGTAATTTCCAAATTTCGCACTTTAGAATAACTGAAATCTGCTATAAAAAAATACATTTTGCGTTTTATTTTTAATATTTTTCTGAACATATAAACACAAAAATTTTCCTGCGGAAATAAGCTGTTTTCATTATCTAAGGAAATTTATTAGACATTAGAATAGCTGAAATCAGTTATATAAAAAATAAACATATTTTTGCCTTTTAGAAGCGTTTACAAACTCAGGAAAATAAAAAAAAAATGAAATGCTTGATTTTCATTTTCCATTTTTGTAAGCATAAATACATAAAAAATTATCTTTTTATCACTTTTGAACCAAAAAGAATCATTTAAAAGTGTCTAACTAATCTAATAATAAATCTAATAATATTTTTACAAAATCACAATTAATTATTAAAATATAAAAACCACAACTTAACACCCTCCACAAAGAAAAGCTAACCAAAGCAACCCAAATCCTAACCAATCTAATAATATTTTTGCAAAATCACAGTTAATTATTAAAATATAAAAACCACAGCTTAA